CTCCAAAACAGATGAAACAGGATTATTATTACAGCATCAAGAAAGCAGCCAGATCAAATGAACTTAGCGGGTAGAGGGTGTTGGTAGGGGGGATGGCACTTGGGATCCGACAACAGAGTCAATTCTGCTAATTAACTGCCAATTAGCGGTCCCTAAATGAGAGGGATCATGATGCCTGTGTTGGCAGCACCCCGATAGTCTCTCTTTTTAGTTAGACACACATATACACTCATGCTTGCACACACAGATACACCAGAGAGACACACACACACACATGCAGCCACAACCTCTCCACACTCTGGCTGTATATTTAGAAAGCCAGGGGCATGAGATGGCCACTGCTGGGAGTCCCTGGTTGCAGCCAAAAAAAGGCATGACATTTCCATCTGGGTCAAAGTTAGACAGATAACCAGCAACTTCAGTCAACTAGCCCACCAATGTTGTAGAAAAGAAGAGATAGAAAAGTAGGGAGTGGGCAGTGAGCAGAGTACGGGGTGGGGGTTGGGGGGACCTCAAAAGCCTCTGTGTGAGATTCATGAGACGTAAATACTTATAAAGAATGTGGAAAAACAGGCGGCTAGGCCAGTTTCATAACTTTATGTTACATTTGGAAAATATTAGTTATTATTTTGCATTTCATAATGGGCGTCGCTGCCAAACCAGAGAATCATAAAATCGTATAAAATCGTAAAAGGCAGTGTTCCTAAGTGTCTCTTTGGCCCGAGAAAGGGGGATGGAAAATGCTTTCTAAGTGGAGGAACACATTTGCTTTTGCTTTTTCTCTTTCGTGTTTTCAGACACCACAAACAAATGTTAACATTTTGCACATGAACCTTCAGTGCAGCCACTTTGTATCGCCGCCGAGTGATTTAAAGTCTGTAAAATCTAGAGGTGATCCAGGATGAGTTGATCTGAATGGGAATGGGGAACCTGCTGTGAAGAGAGCTACAGATCAGTCAGTTTAGAGCCATCTAAATTCAGTTTATCTGCATGCTGTGCCACAGCAGAGCACAATCGGGGGTCATAATCGGGATTCTATATAGATAGGCTAAAGTTCAAAAGGCATATGATTGTAATGACTTTTGAATTTTTATTTGCTTATTTATTTAATGTATTTTTTTATTTTATTTGTGGCATTCTTTCAAGATCCTGTTTCAGTCCTGTTTAGCTTATTTCCCCAGTGCACCTGCCTGCTCAGTTACTCGACATATGAATGACATTGGTCGCACATAACGCAGTTTGCTGGCTTAGTCAGAGCACATCCTTCTGTTCTTAAAACAGAGTAATTAAACATATTATTGCTAATACAGTACATGTACAGTTATATGTTGGCGACTGTTCAAGGTCAAAAAAAAAAGAGAAAACAATCAGTGCACCACACTCCACACTGAACTGCCACAGAGATTGAGCCTATTTCATCTCCTCAGTGGGCACAGGCTGCTTGGCGCCGTTGTCTGGCGGATATCCTTCCCTTATCATGTGACCTGTGCTCCGACAGGGGGCAAAGGTTGGCTGCGATCCGCCTCTGTGTCTTAATAACTCACTCATTGTATTCCTTTCTGCCGCTAATTGGAGCCTCTCCTCACTGTGTGTGTGTTTGTGTGTCTGTGCATGTAGTCCCCCCTGGGCTGTAGAGAGGAGGCAGACAAGTAAAAATAGAGTGTGGCTTAGTGCCCTCTTTATTGTTATTAGTGGTCCAGTGGCACAGCAGTCAGTTATCATCGATGCCAACAAATGACATATTCGCTCTCTGATTTGTTCTGCACC